CAGGTCCAAGTTCATGGGGTTCTTGCAGAACTGAGGAAGGTGCGATTGCCCAGCAGGCTCTCTAATACTGATGCTCATGAAGCGCGCCTGCTGTACATGCCTCAAAGATCAGGTGGGAGCCTCAGGCTCTTGTGTCTTCCTCCATCCAATCGTCCGTCCATTCATCCTCTCTGTCTCTGTCTCCCGGTTTCGTCACTGATGACCTCCCCATAGCTCGAGAGAAGAGAACAACCTCGAGGCTGCCTGGCTTTATGTTGGTGTTGAGATTCGATCGCAGCCTTCCGAATCGGAATTTGTGAAACGGTTCTTCTCTGGCTCTTTCCACATTTGCTTGACCTGTATACCCTGGCTCACACTTGACAACGAGCTCCTGTGCATAACCTTGCTCTCTCTATTATGGCATTGGAGAACGACGCAGATAGATCATGGTACGTTGATCCTTGGAGACGCATCTGCTGTTTCATCGCTGAGTCGTTGGGTCGTTGACATGGTAAATACTGATAGGATACTCGGCATCGACATCGGTAGCTCCAGCTCCAGAGCTGGCCTGATGTGTCCAAAGACGAAGGAGTTCTACCATCTGGACTCCAAAACGAAAGATCACACGAATTGCCGATATCAAGTAGGCGAGTTCTCATCAACTTGCTATCCATTCGACGATAAGGGGCCGCAATACCTTCCAGGATCTGCAGACCACTCACGAATGTCTATCTCTGCCAAGTTCATACCTTACGCTTTGACGAACAATTCGGATGCCCAGCTCCGGCAATACATCCAGGAATACCCCCCAGCTGAATCACTTCTCAGGAGAAGCAGAGACCCATTGTTCCGTGCTCGCCTCCGGGCCGGGCTTCTGGGCTTGCTGAAGACTATTCAAGACTGCGTCAAGTATTGGAGCGACGTGAAGCACGTGAAAATCCAGTCCATTGCAATGACACTCACGGCTCAGTGGACTTTGGACTTTGAGGAGCTTTACCGCGGTCTAGTCATGGAGGTCTTCAACTTCTCCGGAAATCAAGTCTTCTTCTATACCGAGGTCGAGGGCTTAGCCCACACACTGATAACTCACCACGCCCAAGAGCTTGGCCTCACAGAAGATTCTCCAGAGATGTTTAGTCTGTTCATGGACTTTGGAGGACACCATACGGTGGGTATTTTCTTGATATTGGTCGAATACGCTGTCTAACTTCTGCACGGATAGAACATCTGTGCATATAACATTCGACTAAATCAGGAGAGTAGAGCCAGATTCTTTCGTCTCGGCAAACCAACGGGTAAGAAGTATTCTCAGTCCAATCAGATTTTGGGGTTTGACTGACCAGCTAGGGGCTGGTGGCGGGAGTGAGTCGTGGGAGTACAAAATTGGGGAACTCTGCTTCGCCGAGTATAATCAGCACTCCGGGATGCCACTGTCTCCGCAATCGAAGAGAGATGTGTTGGACGAGCTCAATGTTCAGAAGCGCAAGCTTGGCCCTAACGCCCAGTGGGAGGGTAAAGACTTCATCTTTGAGCTGCAACAACCTGATTGGAAGGTCAGGGTAACTGCCGGCCAGATCCACAGACTCTGCTGGGAAGCTCTTAGTCAACCCCTTCTTGTCGCCGAGACACAGATTCAGCAGTTCTCCGGGCTGAAAGGTCGAGGAGTACCGCTCAAGGTAGTCGTGTCAGGCGGAACGGCTAAGCATCCGTTTGTGCAGAAACAGCTTGAATCCATCTGTGCAAGATTTGGGCTCTCTGCACCTGTCTACTCCCACGGCCTGATTGGGCAGTTAGAGTAAGTGTTCCATGTCATCCTTTCCCGCACGTATTGAACCTAAAACGTTGCAGAACAATGACCATCGCAAAAGGTGCCACCTTAGCAACCGCTTCAATGATCACGGTTGACGAGTTCATGGCAAGAGGAGCTGCCTTCGGCCTTCAGATGCGACAACGAGGGCGCCGTAAAGAAGACGCTCTCGGACCTTGGGATGACACTGCACTGTTCCTGCTGGACAATGTAAGACTCATGTTTTGGTTAACACTCATATCTACATGCTGATTGAAATTGCGACAATAGAATCATCGGTCCACCGTGGACAACATCGTTCTCCAGGGTAACGAGTATCTCAAGATCATCTGCGATCCGTTCCGCCACGCCGAAAATTGGCTTGATGCGCTACATTGCTTCCGGTGTTACGATGTTACGAAGGCTTGGAAGCCCTCAAGGGGCAAGTGGACGTTTGATCTCAACCTATCGAAGCGGGGAGATTTGTCCTTTCTTGTTCTGAAGGCTTCGAAAAAGCCCCCCCGTAACCAGAAAGGGGGACCGCGCGTACATGTCTGGACTCTGCCGCTTTACTTCGATGGGGGCACGAATTGTGTCTTGGTCGGAGAGCGAGACCGCAGCCTCGTCGAACTTGACATTCCGTTGGAATGGGCCGAGGATATCGAGGAGGAGGAGGAGAGCCTCGATAGGTACCGGGCAGACTCAACACGAGCTGATACCGCGGGCTATGCCGACAGCAGTACCCGTTGACCAGTTCCAACATCGGAAGACTTTGGCTTGCAAGGAAAGACGAGAATTACGATTACTGTACAAGTGTAAGGGGGTTCCAATCATGTTCTCGTCGCTAAACTGGGTGTTGCTGGGCTCAGTCAGATATCTATTTCATTTTGTTGGGGTCTATTGTGGTTAAGGAAGTCCTCGCGCGCGTCTGCTATCATGTACGCTGGCCTTACAGAGGGTAATTTCCAGGCGAAGTCGAGAAGCAGAAAGTCACAAGACAGACAATGTAGAAGAGCCGTGGAAAGAAATGGAGCCGAAATTCTGCATCTCATAACCTTGTCATGGTCTCCCAGTTCTTCAGATCCCTTGTCTGGCACGCCAGAAGTCTTCCCATCCGGGAAAGAAAGGGCTTTCGTCGAGTGTAGATACTTCCCAGTCTGCCGGGACGATACCAGCTTCCGTCTGCTCCTTGGCCCACATCGCCAAAGCATCCATAGCGACCTTTCTCACATGTTCTACGCACTTGTACGTGATCAAGTTCTGCTTCCCTTCCTGCAATACCTTCAACAACAGCGCCGGAATGTACGGCTCTTCTCGCAGGTCCGTGAACGGACTGAACACGGCCTTGAAGTTGAACACGATGGCGCCGCTGATGGGCAACCTGCGCAGCGTCTGCCAGTCGCACCGCAGCCGCAAGTCCTCGACCTTCAGCTCCTCTGGATTGGCAGCGAATGCGCTCCTCGTCCAGTCAGGGACGACCTCCGGGCTGGAGAAGAGGGGCGCGTGGTCCTCCAGGCTCCACGAGCAGCGCTGGATGGGCTGCTCGACGGGCATCTTGGCGAAGAAGCGGTCCATGCTGAAGGCCATCTTCTCCTTGAAGTCGGGCACGTGGGTGTGGATCTGGGTCAGCGGCTCGTTGCGGTGCTGGCCGATGTCCCAGCCCACCGAGGAGCAGACCATGGCGGCCCGGAGGTAGTAGAGGCCGTCGTTCTCGTTCCGGAGCATCAGAGCGTAGTCTTCTGGGATGTTGTCGAAGATAACTTTGAGTGGCGGCGTGGTGAGAAGGTCAGAGGTGGTGTTGAGAAGGCGGTTGACGAGGATGGTGTTGTCCCTTTCCAGGCTGAAGTACTGCGGATAGCGCTTCGTGACAAACTGCAGCAGCATTTCCATCAACTCGCGACATGCCAGTTCCGAGCCGGGGTACTCAAACATGACGTTTCCAGGATGCGTTTTGAGCAGCTCCTGCCGTGCGGCCATTGTTCCGTGGTAGTTTCTCTCCAGCTCAACCCACCAGTCAGGATCAAATTTCATCAGAGCTACGAATATTAGTCAAAGTCGGACGTGGATACGCATAGAGAAGCATATAAGAGGAGCAGGGAAGAAGGGCTTACACATAGTCTGATGATAATTCCACCTAAACGGCCGGTAGGGACGAAACATGGCCTTCGAGATATCAAAGTTCACATCGCATGGTTTCGGATGACGCACGCCACTGAGCAGTGCGTAGTCTGGGAACCTGCCAAGAGCTCTAATCTCCTGTGTTGAAAAACCCGTCGGCGTATACTGGTCGTCCTTCTTTAGGTCGTGGGCACGTGTAGTCGGTAACGCTTTGGCTTGGAGTGTCCTAGGGGCCATATCAGGCTCCAGTACGGACTTCTCCAGAGCAGAGAGGCCCCCGAGAACATGACGGCGCGATGGAGGGAACTGAAGTAAGTATGTCGGCTCTGTGCTCCCTTGCTTTACACGACTCCTCAACCGGTAGGTTACAGTGACGACGAAGCCGAGTAACATACATCCTCCCAGGAAGAGTTGAACGAGAGGAGGCAGACCTAGGAAACTACGCGTGCCGAGCGACATTTTCACGAGGTCGTAGCCCATGTCACCGCAGGAGGAGGGGATGTAAGAGTCTGATAGATTGTGAGCAAAACATCTGATACACAGACTTGTATGTCGTCTCGGTTCACTTTATGGTTCTATCAGTATAACTATCTCATGAAGCGTTTCCGGACGATTTTGCCCTTTTGAGAATAGCAGCAGCGAGGGGAAGGTCGACTTGGAGGGGGATCAGAAGACCACTAGCACGAGTAGATAAGAATGAGGCTAAAGACGTTGATTGGCCCGGAGTTGGAGTGTACTTGGAGAACTGCATCTATGCGATAGGATCAAACCGTGATAAACCCCCCTTGCTGGTGGGCTGCAGCAACGTACAATGTTGCATAGGCTTTCTCGAGTCGTTGTCCGGGTCGTCTTGGCGACTTTGCATCCAGCACAGATACGTAATGCGAAACATCGTTCCATGACGCATATCGAGACATCATCTCCCGAAAATCGGAAGACCGCGACGGGATGCCCCGATATACCGTATGTTGCCAACTCATGGTTAGCTGCAGTTTGTTCAAGGATTCGAGCATATCAGATTCAGTCAGTCGTAGCAAGATTTGGTGGACGTGGATCTAAACCGAGCCCACCGGGACTTACCTTATGGTCGTTAGACCTCGAAGCTAAATCCAATTACGGCAAAGTGCCAGAGTGGTTAATGGGTTAGCCTCGAAAGCTAATGGCTTCGGCCGCGCAGGTTCGAATCCTGTCTTTGTCGCATCGCGTTTGCTTTTGCCATTTTGGACTACTTTCAGCTAAGCCGAGCAGAATCGTATCAAGGTCGCTTTGGTATATATAAGGTGACATGTAAATGAGTCTTACCATAAGCACTTTTTCCAGCATTGGAGAGCATTTGGGAGAATAAGGCTCTATTTTGTGAGTATCAGCGTGTTTGTCATAGGCGTGGAGAATGGTACGAACATGAGTACTGATGGAAATAGGTGGGGAGGAGAACTTGGCGTTGTCACTTGGAACTTGAGATTGGCCAGTTGCCGTACATCTCGTCAACGCTGCGATCGAGAGTCACGCAGAACCAGGTCGTGATACACACCTCTGCGAAAGCTGCTAGTACCTGCATTCTCCATGTCATTTCCTGTCCACGAGCACTGTAAAAGAATGGCGACCAAAGAAAACGAAGCTCCTTGGTGGGCAGCATTTCCAGAGCCATCTTCACGGCCGGACAACATCGAGCCATCCAAGGTTTTCGCACAGCTCGAGGAGCAGTCCAAGTCGCCCGGGAAACCCAGAGACTTCTTACTCGTTGATGTCCGCAGGACCGACTGGACAGGGGGCACGGTCGAGTCCTCCATCAATCTTCCAGCTCACAGTTTCTACCCAACGAGGAAGATCGTCTACGACCTTTGCAAACAAGCCGGCATCAAGACCGTGATCTTTTACTGTGGTCAGTCACACACCTCCCTGTACTACTTGCCAGATTCGGCCTGTCCTCTCCGCTCACCACTGGCAGGCTCCTCAAATGGACGTGGTCCCAGATGTGCTGCTTGGATGCAGGACTTCATCAACGATGCTGGCGACACAAGTATTCAGTCCCTGGTATTGACGGGTGGCATCAGAGGCTGGGTTAAAACGTATGAGGGTCGTAGGATGGACGGGTATGATGCGAAGGCCTGGGAAGCCAGCTGACAGCGTTCCATTCGGGAATGTGATGGTATCTCAGAGTGCTTTCAGTCCAGACTGCCGCGAAAAAAATTTGGGATGCTTAAACGCCGTACCGACCACTCTTCCGTGTTCCCATTTTATTGCACCCGCAAAAAAGAACCAGTATAACAAAAAAGTTACTCCAGCCAACACATCGATGTAGCCAGCTCTAACCCCGCCGGTCGTCGCCGCCGATCCTCTCGAGAGCTTCGAGCATTACCACCGAGTTCCCGCGGATAACCTAGGAAGAGCAATTAGCATAGACCTTGCAATGCTGGAGACGGCGATACATACAATCATTCCCAGTCTAACCTTCTCGCCGCCGTCTTTCTCCTCCACTGCCTCATCGAGCACGATGTTCAAGAAGACCTGTATAGTCCTGTCAGTCGTGATGTCCGGTTCCTTCGTAGATATTGAGCCATACATCATAGCCACGGAGGACGCCAATAACCTTGCGGCTGCCGTTGAGCTGGACGAACAGTCTCTTGTCGAGGTACTGCAGGCACCGACAGTTAGCAAAATGCAATGTAACATCACCTTTGCAGACAAACGGCAAGAGCGCCGCGAGCGTAGCTTCGTACCTTCTTGAGCTCTGGCTGTGCGGGAGCCATCTTGTCGAGCTTTGTTTGAGAGGGTGCTGCGTGGGATAATGCGACTACTCTCAGAACGGCCGGCCTTGAATTGCGACACGAGATGGATGGATGCGACCACAAATTGGGGAGCCGATAAGATCACGTGCTGATAAGATAAAGCATCATATCGTCGCGAGACTTGTTCGGAAAACGTGAACCCAAGACAAGCTGTCCGACATCAAGATTCCTGGGATAAACCTGTTGGTACTTTCCAAAAATGAGCAGCTTAGGTGCTAGGCGCAAGGCGCGCGTTATCCAGACTCTGGACGACGATGCACTTGGGGCGGAGGAGAACAACCGAGAGGGTGAGTACCTCGTTTTCCCTTCCATCTTCAAACTGCTGCAATGCCCTGCTTCTTTTGCTGATCCGAAAAAGGTAGCTAATGTCGCTGCTTCCAGAACCCCTCCAAGTCCAAGCACCCGTCAAGTTCACCCGCAAACCCAACAAATCCTCCTCCCTGCGCAAGAGCATCAACCTTGCCGATGCCGACCGAGATGGCGACGGCGGCGCGCCAGTCTCAAACGCCACTGCCGAGGCCGAAGACAGCGGTATGCCCGTCGTGATTAGGCCGTCCATCAGCCGGTCGGGCTCAACAAAGCAGAAGAAGAAGCCTACCTCGTCTCGTCTATCCTTCGGACCCGAGTCCCTCTCCGCCGAGGATGACAGTGCCATCTCGACACCTCAGAAGCCACTAAGTCAAAGAGCAGCCGAAAATGCCCTTAAAAAGAAGCCCATCAACCTCCCCAGCCGGCTGCTGGGAGGCGACGACGACCGGCCGCGGTACAGCAAAGAGTACCTCTCGGAGCTGCAGAGCTCGACGCCCAACACCCCGCACGACCTGTCCACCCTGACGCTGGACGACGACGACGAGGCACAGCTGGCCATGGCGCTCGACGACCCGTCGGAGCTCGAAGGCGCCACCGTCGTGCTTCCGTCAGAAGACACCTCTACGGCGCTGACCTCCCGGACGCCGGTGGCCACGATCTTGTCGGCTGCCCAGGTTCGCGAGAAGAAGGAGCGCAGAGCACGGTTAGCTCTGCAAGGGGGTCATGACGACTACATCGCACTCGAGGCCTCTGATGCCTCCGATGACGAGCGCCTTGGGAAGAAGAGTAAGGATTCGCGGCTAATCGCCGAAGACGAAGACCTGGGGGAGGGGTACGACGAGTACGTCGAGGACGGCGGGCTGTCCCTGGGACGAGCGGCTGAGAAGAAGGCAAGGATGCGCAGGAAAAAGGAGATGGCCGAGCTGATTGCCTCGGCCGAGGGTCCCGACGGGGAGGACGATGAGGGCGGAGAGAACAGCGACGACAGTCTCGACCGGCGGGCGGAGTACGAGGCTGCTCAGCGACGGAAGGGGATGGGTGTCGAGATCCTCGATGCCGGGGACGAGGAGCTGGGCGGGCTGGACATGATACCCAAGATGAAGCCCCTGCCGGACTTTGACGAGTGTCTGCAGCGCATGCGAGGCCTCGTTCAGGGGCTGGAGGATGAAGTGCGGCAGAAAAGGATGAGGATTGCGGCGTTGCAGAAGGAGAGGGAAGAGATTGTAAGGCGTGAAGGGGAGGTCCAGGAGGTCCTGAACCAGGCCGGTACCAAGTACCAGGCTGTACTGGGGAGCCGCGCGGGTGCGGATGTTTCCAAAATGGCGGCGCAGTCGCCGCTGAGGAACGTGTCGGTGCCGCTTCCGCCGGGGATGGCTATGCCTGGTTTGGTTGTTGAGAGGGGTCTGGAGAGTTTTGGGACGACGCCAACGGCGCGGCCAGAGGATGAAGACATGACGTGATTACAAGTCGTGAAGCTAGGAACGCTCAGTAGCCTGTAAGAGGATATTATATGAATGAGATACCCAACCAGCCAAGATTGTGCACTGCCGCGATTATAGTGATGCTATGGAGACTTTGAGAACTACAATGCCCATCTTGACCTCCAAGTGTCCCCCGTAAAGTCATATCAATGCCGACGCCAAGTGTATCAATACAAACGGGAACCTTTACAGCAGACCCTTCTTGCTCACCAAGTTTGGTCAGCTCACACGTCTTTCCCGCGCCACTGCTGGTACGCAACCACAGTAAACGTTTCACCTCAAACTACCCCGCCACCCTGCTCCTACTTCGATCCACGGCTGACACCTGCACCGATGACGCCTGGCAGCTTCTCCTCCCCGACGCTGTAAAGCAGCCCAATCGCAAACGTCACCACACCGACGATACCGATGGTGAACCCAGCCAGCAGCCAGAAGGGAATGCTGACGTCCTCCTTCTGGCACGTGTTGCCGGCCCACTTGATGGTCTTCTCCCCGACAGCGCTCGGCTCGGTGCCGTCCAGCACGACGGTACGCATGCAGTGGCACGCGAAACAGGGCTGCTTGGCCTTGGTGTCGTTCTGGTAGCGATCGATGCAGATGCCGTGGCCGCCCGAGCACTTGTTCGTCCTGGTCTCGCAGCTGTTGAGCGACTGGAAGCACGCCGGGATGCGAGCCAGGGCCTTGTCCTGGTTGTCGGTCCAAAAGGCGTCGTTGGCGGACTTGGTGGAGGTGGCGGCCGGGAGGGGTGGGTCGTCGGATATGACGAGCTCGTTCTCGCGGCGGCGTAGTTCGGAAGTGGGCGTGGAGGGACGGGGTGCGGCCCAGGAGGCGAGCTTTGACGTCCGGCTCGATTCCGGGAGCAGGACGAGGAGGGCCTCCAGCTCACCGGAGGAGACAAATCTGGAAAGCCGGTCGAGGTTCATGGCCAGTGATTTGATAACCTCGGGGGACTTCAGGAACTGTTAGCCATGGTGGTTGGGGGATGGTTGGAGACAGAGCACGGTACCTTCTTGACATCATAACGAACCACAGACGACAGACCATCCCAGCATGATCTGCTGTTCGGGTTGACAGCGTCCTCAATCAGACAGTCTTTGTTGCTGAAGACACCCTCGGCCCGTAGGTCAGCCATGAGGCCGTCGTTAGCCTTCGTAGAAGGTGGCTCCGGGACTGAGAAGGCGGGCTGCTGTTGACTCGATTTTGAGAGAGCCTGCCGCAATGGTTCGGCGTTCTCGGCAGTGATACCCTCGAGCAGAATAACCAGTTGAGCAGGCTCAACGGCCTTCTCTGCAGAGCCGAATAGAGGTTCGCGACTCCGTCCGAATGTGTTGAGGTATGTTATTGCCGTGTCTTCGTCCACGGTGGTTCGAAGAGGGCTGCCGTATCGATCTCGCGATGTCTGGATCCTGGTCAGTGCTGAGCTTCGAGAAATGGTCATAGGACAGGCTCACCCTTTGGAGGATAATGTGCCGAGCGACCTCCTTTGGTATTCTCGGTGATGCATCCGACAAGCTGTCGAGCTGCGATGTCGACGGGGAGGGAAACAGATACACCTCAGCCGAGTCATGGCCAGCAACAGCGAGCCCGGCGAGAGCTGCCGCTGCGATGCCGGATAATGG